TTCTAAATCTTGTTTTATTTTTTTAATTTGAAAAATCACTGAGACAAAATATTTTATTTTTAATTAAACTAAATTTCATCATTTTTACATGTAAGTACTTTTTGTAAATGTATGTATTTTTTGGTATATTTATTTCATTTTATAGATGTAAATATGTTTTTTTGTTTAAAAAATGTTTATGGATTTAATTGTTCAAAAATATGAAAGTTTATTGGATTTTTTTCAGACTTTTTCCATTATTTTACCACACTAACCAGTTGTATAGGTCATAAGAATATATCTAACAGATTTTGAAATGTCCAATGAGTTATTTAATAAGTTTTGAAATGTCCAAAAACTTATTTGTTTCAAAAAATTGTCTAAAAACTTAATCATTTCAAACACTAAAGTCTATTGGGTTTTTGACTTTTCCTTTTTCTTTGTGTAATTTCATTAATTCATTTTTTTTAATTTTTTATTTAATAATAACTTTTTAATAAATATAATAATTAAGTATTTTGTTAGAACTCAATAATTATTTTAATTATATTTTAGATTTTTTATATTTAAAATGAGACGTTCATCTTCTATTTGATCACGTTTATCTATAGTTAGTTACACGAATTCAAACATGAAGCTTTAATAAATTGTACTTACGCACAATTTACTTCTAATCTTGAATTTTAAGTAAATGAATCAATAAACAGAACCTAATGCATAAAAAATGGTTTTTAAAAGTTTTTGTGAATGTTTTATAATATAATATAGATATCTCAAAATATTTACAAATTATTAAATTATGAAATTTTCATATTTTAACTCCATAAAATTGATTGATAATGGATTGAAACATGTTGAAATACAAAATAATTATTAAGCCCTTATTTATATTGAACGCGTTTAAATATTGGATAATCATTAGAATACAACATAATTCTTCACAAAATTTATGATTTTTTAATAAAGAATCGTATTTATTTTTCATGATCAGATTATGATTAAAAGAATAACTGTGTCATATTACCTTATACAAATACATGATTAATTGTACGTACAACATTTATATGATTGATATTTTTACGTTTTATAATTATTTGAATTTATATAAGCATTTAATCATTAAGCAAATCCAAATACCGTTATGCCATGGCCATTTTCTTCATACAACAAATAACGTGAAGAAAATAAAGGAGAAAATCTGTCTAATAGTTACAAAAGGATTGACGACTTATCCATTCAGTGACTTTGATGTTGGATGTTCTCAAATGGGTATTGTCGGATTTGGTGAATTCAGTAACAAATGCATGGTGGCATTCCACCTTCTAATGCCTCTAAAGATGGATCCAAACCAAGGAGGAATAAAAAATTCCCTTGTAGTCACGGAGGTTCAAATACGATGACTCCGAATTATCTGCAAAACATGTGGTCGTCCTGGGATTAGTCGGCTCGCATAGCGGGTTGGATATCCAGGTTAATTAGAAAAAAGGTGTTGTTCCTGCAACATTCAATGATATTAAAAAGGGGTCGTGAAAGGAGTCGATTTTTAGGAAAGGGTTATAATGAGTTGTTTGATAACTTTTCTTTGAAATAACAATCATTAATTACAGTTATAAGATCGATTTGATCTAACCAATACCTGAATCATCACTTTTGTTGATTAAACATACAAATGCAAATCATCCCCTTTTTGCAAATCCTACAAACCAATCTTATCCATCTATTTTCTTGATCAATGGTTATGATTAAAATATGTAACATTAGAAAAGTAAAAAAATAAAAAGTTTAATATTTAATTAAGAAAGGGCAAAATTGGCAAATCATTTTTAACTTCCAGCCATATTGTTCGATCATTTACCGTTTTCAAATAATTTTATTTCATCAGTGAAACTGGTGTCATGACTAAACATTTCGGAAACTAAATAAAATGACTTCATTCGTGAAATTGAGTTCATGTTCAATATTCAAAAAAGAATTACCCTCAGATTCATCTTCATTTGATCGAACATTATTGGATCTGACAAACATTTCATTAGTGAGATCGGTTTTATGAATGGAATTTTTTTGGAAAATAAATAATACGATTTCATTAGTGAAATTGGTTTAATCAATAAAAACATTTTGAAAATTGTATCTCATTTTTTCGTTAGTGAAATTTGTTTAATTGTTCGTTTGTATAATGAAATTTGAGCCAAATATGGTTCAGTCAATGGAATATTCTCCAAAAAACTGAATAACATGTTTTCGTTAATGAAATTCATTTCATCATTGAAATTGGTTTCATGGACTTCACAATTCCAAAAACTGAATGACATTGTTTCAGCAGTAAAAATTGTTTAAATGTTACCTAACCAAAATGGAATCGGTTTCATGGTTTCTAACCAAGATGAACTCGGTTTTATATATGAAACAAATATTGTTCGGTCAATAAAACAGTCAATAATTGTCAACTCGGTTTCACGTATAGTAAAAACTCTATAGGTTAAAATATATGCAAATTTCGTCTATTCCAAGTAGCAAATAAGTTTTTTTCTCATAAATCCCGCACTAGGTTTAGCGGAACCATAATTTGTTGACGTAAGGGACCATATGTGAATTCAAATAAAAAGACTAAACATCGTGAAAATGTAAGAAATGAAAGTTCATACGTGAATCAGTGGAAAAAATCTATTTAAAAATTCATATGTGAATCCGTACGCATTATCTACAATGTCGGGTTACATATCCATCTACAATAGATTTTTTTTTTCCGGATATTTCAATAATTTCATATGAACCTTATTTTCTCTTAATATTTAGGGGCCGTTTATCCAAACGCTTACTCGATAAGCGCTCATCTCCAAGAGTCTAACGTTTTAACTTACTGAGTAAGATTGTAGTCCATCAAAACAGTATCGTATAAAACAATTTACCTTGTAAATATTTATCGGGTAAGATTCTTCATCCTTAGCATCATTTTTACCGGATAAGATTCTCAGGTCTTGTCATGTTCATACAGTAAGAAAAATGACCAGGTAAACGCTTATCGGATAAACGTTTAGTATAAACGACTTCTTAATATTCTTATACCAACCTCGCACTAATAGACTAAATAATCTTTACACAATGTTTAAGTCGTCAATTCAAGTCGTATATGTGAGTTGGTTTGTAATTTCAAAAACAAAATAAATAAGGGTATAAATATAAAAACCAAAAGGTTAGGGCTATTCTTGAATGTTAACTTTTAGTTGAGGGACCATATCTGTAACTTATGCCAACATACCAAAAGAATGCATCAACGTCAACAAAAAAACGAAAAAAAGCTCAAAAGCAGAGTTCGTTATTACTTGCAGTCGGTCGGAGCTCTTCGCCGAAAACAAAACGGAGAGAAGAATGGGAACAAGAGACATAGATAGAGATCTAGAACGGTTGATACCGGCAACCGGATTCTCAGATATAATCGGTGCCCCATTATCGCCGTTGCAATCCGACACCCCTTCGGGGGCTTCTCCTCCCTCTCATCATTCAGGCAGAGAGGTCTCTAATTATGGAATCAAATTGTGTTTATTTGGTAGATTAATCGTGCATAAAATGTCTGTTAATGTTCGTTCATCATAATTTATTTTTGATATTTATAATTCCATAAGGTAAACATTTGGTGTTTTCATGCATGATCTGCTGAATAACTAGGTTCTCGTTTCTCTAATGCCGTTTTTATACCTTTTTTCCCCAGGTTTTTACTGATTCTTGTCTAAATTCTATTGTTTTTAGTTGAAATTACATCAGTGAATTATTTGAAATTTAAGTTGTTGAAGTTATGATTGTGATATATTCACCTTTAATCTCCCTCATGTTGAGAAGCATTGGCAAACTTTTATACTCTAGACTTCTACACAGGGCACAAGTGAAAACTAAATTCCGTACACCCCTATTTATTACAAAATCTTGGGTGAGATACTCCCCCCGTTCCAAAAACAGACCTACATTTGGATCAAACCGATTGCTTTTAAACTTTCAGATTGATGTGGATTGAAAACTTTCAGTAAATCATATTTCTATATACAACAAGTGATATAACAAATGCAAGAAGTAAAAAGATTTTAGTGGAAATCAACAAAAAAAATCAATATAAACCTTGGACTTGAAAGTAATAGGTTTTGGCATTAAATATTGCAACTAAGGGAGTATCTTGTACTGTGGGGTTCTGGTAGTATAGGAAATCACAGTCCAACCTAGGAGTTAGGGAAATTGTCATATAGAAGACAATCTACAGCCTTGAGGACTCCTCTCTTTGCTGCTTAAACACATAGTTTGTTTTAGAAAAATTGGAGCATGGTCTTGTCACTTGTGATGTAGCATGAAACTTATCATTCCTCTTCATATCCAGAACTTTTTTGGAAGAGTTTCCAATGCTATAACCAGCTTAATGCCTGCAAGTTGCCATCGAAAAACATCAGTCTTGAGCCTGGAATCGAACCCTGGGCAGATGGGATATTCCACCACATCCCCCTGGGCCTCAACCATTATGTCACAACATGTGGTTATATCGAAAATGTTACACACTTCATTGTTCCTTGAGACCCGTAGATAATGTTATCTTCTACTGGTTTTAAGCAGATGGTTCATGTCCTAGAAAGAAAATTCATTCATAAAAGCTTTTGATTAAGATAACCAACCTAAAAGGAAATGCATGACTGTTATAAGGAATTTCAAATATGTGTCTCATATTTTAGGTAATTTTTCATAAATGAGTGTTTTGCTTGAAGTCTTGGAAAGATAATCCATCTTAATTTATGTTCTGGGAAGTGTCTCTAGTTTAAAATTTTGATATTATTTTCACGCGCTCATTGGAAATTTCATATCTTGCTCCATATTGAATTAATTACTTTCGTACTCTATGATTCCCAAAAATATACCACTTAATTTGTTAGCAACTTGCACTGCATCTAACTTCATCTATGATTCCCAAAAAATATACTATGAAAATGGATGTGGAAGTGAACGATGAGATGTGATGTCCAATGACTTCAATCCACTTATAGAAACAAAAGATATGAGGGGTGTACAAAATTACTTTTCACTTGTGCCCTGTGTAGAACTCTAGAAGATAAAACTTTACAATGCTTCTAAAACATGGGGGAGATTGAAGATGAACGAATTACGACAACAACTTCAACAACTTAAAGTTCAAATATTTTTCACTGATGTAATTTCAACTATAACATCTATGATCCTTCCTTTTATGCAGAGAGCTCTGAAGTGTGATCTTCTTGTCTATTCTCAATACCCTCTCGCCTCAGTCTTCTACTTTGTGTACGCACCATACACGCACCTAATGTTAAATCTCATTTAACAAATTTAAAATTTAGCATCAAACAACCAACTGGTTCTGGTGCTTGTCTGCATACTTGAAATGTGATTATTAAATGTTATATGTAACCTTGCAATTATAACTTGAGTCATATAGATAATGGATTATCTTTGAGGAGTGAGGACAGCATCCGAGTAGGTGATGATTACGGTTTGCAAGTGGAAACGTTAAAAACGTTCTATTCGTTTTGCTTTTGCAGGCATTAGTTAAAGTCATTCGCAGCTGGGCTTCAAAAAAGTTCATTACTGGATGGTTCGTTCTCCTCTCCTCAGCAACCCCGTCGTCTCATCATATTATTCATATGCTTGTTTCATCTGTAAGTTGATCATGCATTGCTGATTGTCATAACAGTTGAAAAATATTTTAGGAGATGTGTTAAGGGTCCACATCGGCGACCTTTCTATTCAATATATGCTGGAATCTCTCTTCTTTTCTCAAGGGCTCTTTTAGAGAGTAATCTGATGAGGTTCCACATATTCTAATAAAATCGTTGACATATATCAGCGGCAATGTTGGTTATAACATGGTCATATTTAATATAACTAAACTATGAAAACCATCTTTGCTCATCTTCACTAAAATTTTAGACGATCACGTTGAACTATGAAAAACTTTGATTCTTGAAATGCCTATATATAGATCTTTGATGCCTAATTCAGCTGTCAGATAGGGAAGCAGTAAGTATTAGGCAAAAGCTGCGAGTATTCTGACCTTTTGCATTCACAGAAATGATACAAATCTACACGGATTTTGGGATGTGTTTTTGCCGGTTGGTTACTAATGGTTGATTGTTTTGCAGTGTCATTTTATCTCCCATAGCCATCACATTTTATGTGACTTGGTGGTTCATTCAACTTGGGGATGTACTCTTCTCCCCGATCTACGTTTTTTTGGGAATTAATATATTTGGTTAGTGCATCGACTTCCTTGTTCTTTTGACATATTAATTCAACAGGACAACATGATAACATCCTAGTTTACATAATGATTCTAACTTTTTGGCTTTGCTACACGACGTAAGTGTTTGCTTAAACAATCTATTTACCCGTTGATTGGTTTCATACGGGGTGCATCTCCTGCAGTGCAGCAACTAGTTGTCATACCAAGTGATAAAAATTGATCACATATCATTACAAAACTTATGCCCCTTCTGATATCTTAGCCAAAAAACTGTCTTGACCATGCTTCACCTTTAATATTTTTTTTGAAGTATATAATATTTATATACAACAAACCTTCGGCATGTAGCTTAGTTGGCAAAGGTGGGGCAACTTTGCCCAAATGCAAGACATGTCCGGGTTTGACCMCCCCCCCCCCCCTTCCCGGCTGGCCTTGGCCAGCTGAATGAGCCAAAAAAATGCCCCCCACATTGGGGTCCTTGGAGGCGGGTTCTGTGTGTGGCCGGTTGGGATTACCGATAATCAAAATTTTGCCCAAATGCAATAAAAGAACTCACACACCCTACTCATTTTTGATAAGGTTTGATTGAACCCCTGACCTCTTGGGATGCCAAAGGCCCAGATACCGCTAAGCCATATGCCCTTTGGTCATCTTTAATAGTGCTTCTATTGTGGAATCATGTTGATAGTAAATATTTTTTTTTGTAAATTATTTGATTTGTTTCCTAGTTTGTAGATATGATTTCCCTGTGTAATCTTTCCTTATCTCTGGGATTTTGTTTCCTGGTTTGTGTTTATAAATTGAGGGAAATGGGAATGTAATACAACTCTGGAACAGGAGATTCATTCAATTACATGGTATCAGAGCCTTAACTGCTCTTTCTCAACGCCATCAGAAACCTCTTGCTATCTCTGTCTGCCCCTGTGTTGTCTGTTTTATGCTTCTGCTTTGTCGGCCTCTTCCCCCTGTGATGTCTGCCCCTGTGTCGGCAGCCCCTGCATCTACTACCCTTTACCTTGTGGACCACCATGACTAATGAAAAGTCTATCCCCCCCCCTCCATCCCGCACAAGCAGTCCATAACATCAAGAGAATAATCCCTCTCACCCTCGACCTTC